AAAGCAAAGCCACTTCCTCGTCCGACATTAAACAGAGCCCGACAGAGGAGGGAGGGGCGGGGCGGCTCTGCCGTGCAGCGCTTCAASAGCTGTCCTGCGTCTGACCTCAAAGTGCACAAGCGACCAACTTCAGCGTTGGCTGCGATTTTGAAGCTGAAATCGCGTTCAGTGTGAACGCAGCATAAGGCCAACCTCACAGGTACCTACCTGACCCTGAAACCTAAACTCAATTCACACCTTGGTCCTAAACCCAAGCCCCAACCCCCCAATGGCATGTAAACCAAATGGGGACTCGACTTTTGTCCCCTAATGCACCAGTTGTTCACAAAGGTAGGATTTTTGTTTTAAAATTTCCCCCAAATGTCAGAGATGCCATATCACTTCTTCTTTAGGTAATAATAGCTTGAGGGCATATTTTTAGCTGCAGCAGAGGATTGCAGTGGGGCTCCCAAGTCCAGGGGACGGTGTCGTTCAAGTTAGGTGTTCAGGTTTTCTTCTTCTACTCAAGGATTCAAAGGTTACACAAATCCAGGCTGGACTTCCTGTTCCACTTTAACATTTCTATAGATTGTTTACTTTTTCACGAATTTATCTAGGAGCCTTGTTTCATGAGTGTTAGCAGGATGAAACAAGGGATAAACTGACAAATCAATGCTTTGATGTCTTTGTGTCTGAATGAGTCATGTAGATGGATGTACTTTTTGACTGCCACTAACTGCTCCTCCAAGCTATCCATGTTGTTTGGACACTAAACACTCGACTTCTCAGCAAAATGCCGCCATTGTTGTCAGAGCACTTTTTTCCATAAAGAAACACGCCTACGAACTTCTGACCAATCCCACCATGCTCAGTGCATTCACCTGTGAGAAAAGGTTTGTGCTTTTGTTGAGGAGGCGAATGAAGCTGCTCCCCCGAACAAAATAATGTGATTTCTTTCACTCTACATCAGTGAAAGCCAATAGTGGCCTTTAGTCTTATAAATAATGTGAGAAGCTGTATCCTTCTGGAGGAACTCTGAGTCAAACTCCTAATGAAAAGGGGTCGTCTGAGGTGAATATAGACAACTAGTCGACAAGACCCAGAACTTGCTGCAGGAATTTTAAATCTTCTGCTCTTTTTGTCTGGTTTTGTTATTAAAAATATTGAAAATCCTTTCTTTTATTTCCTTGTTTTATTTTTACTATGACGGCTTCATCAGAAAGTACAAATGTAGGATTTAGTTGCATTTTTCTGAACATTTCCATCTTTTCTCAAAATGAGGGTTTACCTTGTTGTGAATAACATTTTTACATAATAAAACTAAAATCATAATATCCACAATCTTTTGATTCTCTTATCATCGTACAAAGTTCATACAGTGAAAAAGCAAAATAAATTAGATCTAAGTTTTCACCTAATAAAGGAAAAACATGCCATTGACATGTGCAGTGTGTACAACTACACAATGTACATTTATATCTGAGAGTTTGGTCATCAAACCAACTATTTTCTGCCTGTCCGTCCATTTTTTTATTTTTTGTTCTGCTCTCAGAGGAGTAAGACACTTTTCTCCTCTCTCCTGCCCTCCCTTATCTTTCCCTGCTTTGCTGCTCAGAGTCTTCTCTACTTTTTCATCCAAAACTGAAAATTATGGATTTATTTTTATGGATTTGGTTAGCTGGTCTCTTAATAAATTTTTTTGGAACAAATTTTATTTTATTTTTTCCATGGGAGGACATGTCAAAGGTGGGACCTTTGTTCTGCTCTGATATATAAGATATAGATATAGATAGATTCTGATCACTGGATTCTACAGATTGGCTTGGTGGTCTCCTGGTGTTCTACAAAACAGCGTCGGTGGCTGTTCATTTCCTGGCTGTCTGACCAATATGAAGGATTGCCGTTCTATCAGCACTCAGACTTTTGCCTTGTGCTGGACTCGGTCTGCAAGCAGTTCTGCTGAGGGTTGCAGGCCGGCTGTGGTTCCTGGACTTTGCTGGTGAGATGAATTGATCTTGGAGAATCTGATAGCACAGCTCGGCGGATTTATCCACACTATTTGTCTGATTGGATTCGCCACCTTGAGATGTACCATTGGACAGGAAGGCAGATGGAAAATTGTTATTGTCTGCCTGACCGAAAACATTTCCTCTGTTCCCAAACAACTGATTACAGATTCGTGATCTAGTTTCTCCAGGGTGTTTACGTTGACTTGTGGCTCCTCCCCCACCTCTCACCCTTTCACACTGTCTAATCTGATCTCCTGAAGGTCATTCTGGAGCTGCACAGAATGAACAATTCAAAACCAGTATTCTGAACTACGGGTTTCTTCTTTTGCATGACCTGATCACCAGATTCCCCGTGTTTTTGTCATGTGTGTCTTATTGAGTGGGTGTTCTTAAATGTAATTTCATTGTGCTCTATACAGTGACAATAAAGGCATCATCAATCAATCAATTTTCTTACTCTTATCCGGGGTCGGGTCTCGGGGGCAGCAGCCTAAGTAGAGAGACCCAGACTTCCCTCTCCCCAGCCACTTGGGCCAGCTCCTCTGAGGGAATCCCAAGGTGTTCCCAGGCAGGCCAGCTGAGAAAGATAGTCCCTCCAGCGTGTCCTGGGTCTTCCTCTGGGCCTCCTCCCAGTGGGACGTGCCTGGAACACCTCACCAGAGAGGCGTCCAGCAGGCATCCTAACCAGATGAACCACCTCAACTGGCTCCTCTCGATGTGGAGGAGTAGCGACTCTACTCTGACGCCTCATTTTCTGCCCATAAAGGGTACAGTGTGTTGCAAGAAATGCCAAACCAACTCCGTCATTATTCCATCTGTGATTAGGTACCTTCACTCATCCATGATCATCTATCGAGACCTGAAGCCTCACAACGTTCTCCTGTTCAACCTGAAGAGCGACTCCGAGGTCGTCGCCAAAATCACAGACTACGGGATCGCTCAGTACTGCTGCAGCATGGGAGTGAGGAGCTCAGAGGGCACACCAGGTCTGACTCGAACCTTTACCTATCTCATTGTAGGATTCAGTTATTAAAGGTTTAGTCTGTATCTGACAGGTTTCCGAGCACCAGAGGTCGCCCGAGGTAACGTGATCTACAACCAGCAGGCGGACGTGTTCTCATTCGGCCTGCTGCTGTACGACCTGCTGACGTGTGGCGAGCGCATTTCAGACGGTGCCAAGTTTCCCAGCGAGTTTGATGAAATTGCGGTGCAGGGGAAGCTGCCAGGTAACAAATCACTCGTCTAAACGAAGACCTAATAAAGAAAATATTTTGGAAAATCAATCAGTTTTTTTAATTTCATCTCGGTGACTGATGCTTTTTAGAAACACATCTCAGGTATCCAAATGAGGACAACAACAACAACATGTCTTTGTCTTCATACACAGATCCAGTAAAGCACTACGGTTGCTCGCCCTGGCCGGGCTTTCAGGCACTGATAAAAGACTGTCTGAGGGAAATCCCACAAGATCGACCCTCTTCTGACCAGGTGAGGACTTGAAAAACGTCGCAGCTGAACACTGTGTGGGTCAAGACAAACTGGGATGGACTCATTGGTTCCAACACTGACCCTCTGTCACCCAGGGTTGGGCAGTATTGGCAAAAATATAAATCATGATTAATTGTGGTGTTTAGCCGATTAATTTGACCATTAATCCCCTGGAGTCCCTGAACACCCTTATGTCCTTTATGTCCAGGGACTAAGCAGGGAAAAGCACTAAATTGGTCACATGACCAATTAGATTTGCTCTTCATAAAAACCTGTTCCAAATTGAGTCAAAATTACAGACTTCAGACTATACATCAAATTTTAAATGGTGTTGATAAATAAAATACAGAACTTTTTTTAATGTTCTTCATATTTGAAGCGGAGAGAAGCACCGAGAAGACTGACTGGTGGCATTAATCGTATTAATCATCAAGTGCCAAAAAATAATCTATTATTGTTTTTCTGATGATTAATTGCACACGATACGATTATGCCAACCCTACTGTCACCTGTCCGTTTGGTCGCATGCAACCAAGAGCTGGTAATAATGTGTTTGTCTGTTTTGACTGATCTGCTCTGGCAACTGCCTGATAACACCACCCCTCGTGACTCTAGACGTTTCAGCACCAGTTGCACATGGACCAAATTCATTTTAATACTTTGCCAGTGAGTGTATTTCACCTGCGTTTAAAGTCAGCCAAGTGTTCAATTTAACAACTAAAAAGCCCGTTTGGTTTGTGTGTCTGCAGATGTTTGACAGGCTGAACTCTGCTGAAATGCTGTGCCTGATGAGGGAGCTGGAGGCTCCTCAGACGCTGGGCGCTCAGTGCGTCACGTTGAGCTCCAGCCACCCAACATCCGGCCACGCAGTCTGGATCGGTGGGGGCAGCAGCTCCAAGAAGCTGGGCTTCATCACAGCTGTGGACCTGGACACCAGCACGGTCATCTCGCAGGTACGGACAAACCAACAGCAGAACTGATGCATAAAATCTGTTCGTTTGAGCTTCTAAATCCATCCACTGTGGCAACACATTTACTAACAGATCTTAGTTACAGGAAATCATATTTAGAGCATCATAAACACTCCCTTTTTTACCCAGGAGGTGGACACCAGCCCCGTCCTGTGCCTGGTGACAGTCCAGATCCCAAACGAGGCTTGTGATTGGCTGGCAGCAGGCACGCAGTCCGGCTCATTACTGCTCATCAACACTCAGAACGTGTCCACCTGGCACCACCTACAGAGGGTCACAGATGCTGTCACCTCCCTGTATTTCCACGTGTATCCTAGTCGCAGGTAGGCTGTCGGTTAAAGCACAGCTCCTGCTGATCCTTTAGCTTTAAAGGGCCAATATTATGTGTTTCTCAGGCATACATTTAAATACTATATCATAATAAAGACACGTCCCAGGGGCGTTTCTGGTCCCAAAAGGTGTTTCTGGTCCCCACCTGTCGTTTTGCTCCTCAGCAGGGCTTCCCAAAAAGGCAGCAGGATTTCTCAAACATGCATGAATGAGTCAAAGCAAGGCTTTGGGGATGTTTTTTATGAGAGTATAACTTTATAACATGACATAAAACTCAAAAAAGTTGATTTTACATGATATCGCCCCTTTAATGGTTCTGATTATGGTCAGATGAAATTATTGTTTCAAGGAGAGTTTGTTTCTGTTTTATCATTAAAAACAAATGGAACTCCGCCCACATCAAGAACTCTGCCAATCACAGTTAGGATAAACTCTGCCCACACGACAAGAAACTCACGCTATGTACTGCAGAGACCCATAATGCAGACAGCCAGCATCGTTAGAGGATTTCTGCAAAAAAAGAAAAGAAAAAAAGAAAAAGTCTGTTTTGCCAAAAAATGACTTGGGTGATTGTTTTAGGAAGGTGATGAAATCACGTCTGATCTCATGACATTTCATAACGTTTCACCCCATCAGTTATGCTCAGATTACAAGGATGAGGCTCAGCTACTACCACACCAGGTTTTACCTCAATAGCTGTAAAATGTACAACTTTATAGCAGGTGTGAGCAATTTACACAACACAACAAATCACAAGTGAGCAAAAATCTGAAAGTGCGCCCACAAGATGTTCAAGCAGTGACACTTTCTTCTGTCTGCTGTTGTTTTTTTCTTCACAGTCAAAGGAGGAACTATTTGCTCGTGGGGACGGCAGACGGAACCCTCAGTGTTTATGAGGACTCGACACTTCTAGTAAATATTCAGTGTTGTTAGCAGTCTGTTTCCTGAATGTGTGAACACTTACGTGTTAAGAAGCAGACTCCCCTCACTGTGCTCGTTGCAGCAGGAGGACGGCCCGCCCGTCAAAACCCTGACTGTGGGGAGCGTCAGCACTCCGCTCATGTGTTTGGGGCAGTCGGTGCACCCGCTGGACTGCAGGTCTGTGTGGGCCGGATGTGGAACAAAGATCCTTTCCTTCTCCTCCGATTACGACGTCAGCAAGTCCATCGACACGAGACCAAACCTCACCTTGCAGTGAGTCTGTGTGTTCACTCGCAGAGCAGCTTCTCATGGAAAACTCTTTTTAAACTGATTTGAGAACAAACCAGCTGTTGTTTAAGAAACGTGCTCTCTAATTAAACTGTATACTTTTAGATTTTATGTTTTAGAGAGAGGTTTAAAGGATTTTTCAGTCAAAAAGAAAAAAATTGTATAGGTCTTCTGGACGGGTTCTTCTTTAATGAAATGTCTCGTCTCTCCTCCAAGAGACTTCTTCAGTCTGAGCGTTTCAGGCAAAATTCAGGCTTTTAAGCACTGCCTCCATGTGACTGATACTCACATCACATGGCTATCGTTGACACCTAATTAACACCTATTGTTAAC